ATGGTAACGGATGATGAAACATGGGTCTACGAGTATGATCCCGAGTCAAAACGTCAATCCATGGAATGGCACCACTCCATTTCTCCATCTTCCCGAGGCAAGAGAGTTAACTGGCTTTAAAAGTCCAGTTTCCACCCTTGCCGAACAAGGCTGGAATTACTGGGCTCGATCGTAGCGCCACTAGTGGTTATTACGAGTTATGTCCTTTCTAAGCCTCTCCTATGGACCAATCAGATTCCACCTCTCGTATCACTTGCTTTTGCAACAAAGAAAATGGCGGCGCCCAGTCAGGACGATCTGATCGATAATCAAAATCTATATTGTGATAAAACGGGTCTTATATCGCGAAATACATCAAATCAAGTGAGCACCTTGATGAATGATAAAAACATGAAACGATTTGGAAAAAATCTGTTGACAACGTGGTGGCGGTGCACATGCTTTGCAAATCCTGCAATCGACCGTAATCTGCACGACAGTTAACGAACCGGATTTCGATTTCGTTGCGTGATTTTGATTAGACTATGCATAGACTCGTTAGTCTAGCCAAAATGTAACAAAAATATAAACACAGGTCTCCCAACAACTAATGAAACGATCGCGTATATTCTGTACCCGGCTGGGGGTAATATCCAATCAGCTTGCAGGACTAGCCGGTCGTGATAATTAAGCCATGCCTCCTCGTTAGCGTTTTTCAGATTTGTTTGAGTTGTGATAAATAAAGACCGCAAAATACGTACTTTTGGTTAAGCGCAACAGCGTTAACTTTACGTTTTCAAAACAAAATTCTCGGCCATTGTACATCATACTGGCTATACATAATGATGTAAGAAAAATCTATTACTATTTTTCATGATACTTGCACTTTAAACTAATCTGACGGCCAAAAGAAACTTTACCCCTATAAAAATGAAATTGCAAAAATTTAAAAAACCAAGTTCAAACTAAATCAATGCAAAACACATCGTCCAAACACAACAATCTCTTGGCTGAAAATGATACTCGTTTTGGGCAGCCGAAACTACACGTGCAATGAGGGTATAGACGTGACGCGGACCCGTGAAGACCTGTTCGATAAGATAAGGAAACGATAGGAGATTTCATCCCTGACAGACAAACAAAATGACTGATTACTTATTAACTTATTACTTATTACTGCCGCATTCAACTCACAGTACACACGACCCGTGAAGATCCGGGGTAGAATAGATCTTCAGCAACCCATGCTTGCCATAAAAGTCGACTATGCTTGTCGCAAGAGGCGACTAACGGGATCGGGTGGTCAGGCTCGCTGACTTGGTTGATGCATGTCATCGATCCCAATTGCGTGGATCGATACTCATGATATCAATCACTGGATTGTCTGGTCCAGACTCGATTATTTACAGACCTCCGTCATATAGCTGTAATATTGCTGAGTGCGGCGTTAAAAAACAAACAAACAAAACATGTGTATATGCATGGTCGCTTTTTAGGGTAGTCGTTATTTTTTTACCAACGAATTAAGCCACGGCCTGGTGGCAGGCTTGCGGCCATCACTCTAAACATTGCTTCTGTATCAGGCAAAAGAGAGACAAAAAATGTGGGAGTGAGGCAGGACTCGGGTATGGTACTGAGAAACAGTCCTTGGGTGGGGTGGAACGGGGTTTAACGTCGCGTTCAAAATTGCACTTATAGCGACGTGCATGCCTGCGTGCGAACCCTTCCGTGGCCTGCTGTTGAAACGTGGGTTAAGCTGACACGCCGTGGTGTAACTGGAATACTGTTCACGTCAGCGTTAATCCCAACTTATTCACTCCAAAGGACTGTTGAGGCATATGGAGTTGCCTCCCTTTACATACGCTTCCTCAAGCTCCTTCCCAGCGCGTGACACCTTCGTTACACTCTCAGTAACATCGCTGCCACCAGTGTGGGCGCGGCCATTTCAAGAATCTTGAAATTTGCCCTCCAACCCCATATGTAGTAACGTTTATACTTTTGTTTATGTCTTTGGGAATGCCATCATATTTCAATTTGAAAAGGTTTACGACTGACCATGTTTTCCAGATGAATTTACTTTGTTGTTTTGATAATCAGATTGGTTCGAGATTGCAGACTAACGGAAAATCAACCAACTTCTCCCTTACATTCTTACTATATCAATAACACGATAGTTTTAATGAAACAGAAATTCAAATTGACAAACGAAGAAAGTAATTTAGCAGCGATAAGTGTATTCGGCGTCACGACAGTCGCCACTTGTTTGTAAACATAACGGTCATTCGGTTGCTAGTTCAACTCCAAGCATGGTTGTGGCCACCTATTCACAGTGGGGAGTTTTGACTGGTGGCAGCGATAGTATAGAGAGCTCCGGGAACGTACTATCGCTGTGAGGAGCTTGACGCTTCCTCAAGCTCCTCACAACGATAGTACGTTCCCGGAGCTCTGAGAGTGTAACGAAGGTGTCACGCGCTGGGAAGGAGCTTGACGCTTCCTTCATAAGCGCCAGCTGCGGGCACGCGAGTTGCGTCCCTTTACTTGTACCAGTGGCGACAAAAGTAAAGCTTAACTTGATCACTAGATGACCAAGATCTGTATTCTTTTTAACATGCAGTTCAATGTCTTTTACAATATGGCTGTAGTCTTTTGAAAGCATTAACATGTTGGGTGAATTTCACAAATGATCGCCTGATAGAGGCATGCACGTGTTCCCTTATATAGTCTAAATACCGCCCAGATGATTCTATACAGTGCTTGACTAGTCTAGCTGCTCCGGAAGATTTTAGGTTACACTTGACTCCAAATATTATCTAAATATAGCAGCTTCCACAGCAATGCTTACGTTAGATAGTATTACATTCCCTACCAACTAATCATTGTCAAAAAACTGAATCTCAAGAGAGTAATAGAATTACGACATTGTTAGACAATAAATGACATTTCCATATACTCGTAGACCCGGCGGCGTGGGACGTTGTTCGTAGTATCAACCAGCAATTTCTCTCATACAGGACCGATAATCTACAGGACGCCGAGAGACAGCTTGAAGTTTGAAGCATAAATAGCATTCACTCGCTTCTTTTAAAAAGTGATTTGTGTTAAATAGTTGCGTTATCTGTAAATCTTTGAGACATTGTCTGCAATAAGGAATGTCTGACAACACAAGAAACATTATTAGTGTGAATTTAACCTGACCCGATGGCGTAAACCATTGGACATTCTTGCAGTCAGTGGTTTGCCTGGTCCAGACTCGACCTTTTCCCTGCCGCCATGATACAGCTGGAAAATTTCTGGCTGCGGCGGAACATAATTTCAGTTACCCTTGACTCAATCGCTACCTTCTTATATTCCGTTAACTTGACACATACAGTCTGACAAGCTAATAAGGAGGTTTCGTTAAAGTTTTCGGACCGCCTCCTTGGTCTAGTGGTAGAGCGTCCGCTCGGTGAGCGGAAGGTTCGGGGTTCGGTCCCCTGCCGCGTCATACCAAAAGACGTTAAAAGATGGTACTTGTTGTTACCCTGTCTGGCGCTCGGCATTAAGAGGCTAAAATTAGAACTCGGCTCGGAGTCAGTATACTGTGTCTCAGAGGGGTATTCATGTTAAACTGCGGCATGGTATCTCAGTGTGCTGGCACTATAAATCGGCATCAGTCCGGACTAGTACAAGCAGCCACACACACACGTGCATGCACGTCGCTATATAAGTGCAATCATCTTGGACGCGACGTTAAACCCCATTTCACTTACCTCCCCGTTACAGGCTTCCTGTGCAGTACAAGGTTATCTACAGACACCCAGGAACATGTGTAGACGATGGGTAAGGGACACACAGCTTGGGGATATCAATTTGTATAAAAAAAAATATATACAAAAAAAAGGGTTCGATGGAACCAACCTGGTTGAAAGTTATTTGGGGGAATATCTCGTATTCGTTCATTTTGGCGATTTGGAAGTGGTGTATATTCATCTATATTTCAGATTAACGTGACAGATGATCATTTTAGTTTCAAATATAATCGGTTCATGCATACATCATAAGGAATGTTGCGTGTCAGGGCGGCGTCTGGTTGAGGTAAAGGAGAAGTTTATTTAGGTTATGCGAGATTCTTTGCCTTCGGGTTGAGTGGGTGAGTGAGTTGGGTTTAACGCCACTTTTAACAGTATTCCAGTTATATCACGGCGTGTCAGCTTAATGTGGGAGGAAAGCCCCAAGTGATGCAGGGCCCCGTCCCACGAAGCGATCGTAGGGCTAAGGTGGTCGTACATCCCATACTTTAACCATTGACTCACAACAGTTGTAGGGCTAAGATCGCTTTGTAGAACGGGTATAGTGCTGACAGACCCAGGAACATAATAGGGGCGAACAGAGATTCAAACCAATGATCATAGGTTCCTTGTGTGTCCAAGGGACACAACCCTACCTTCAGGTTGAGGTTAGTTTGAATGTGTAACAAATAAATTGCAACCCGCCTCACATTTTTGAAAAAATAGAATGGGGCTAGTTTTTACATTTAACAAAAGGGAGGGTGTGTGTGTGTTAAACTGTCTGTCTTATATATAGTGGATCGCGCACCAACAGTGGAACCAGTTTAGGTGGGATGGGGGAGGTGTTGTCACCCGCAGAACCCCACAACAATTTCACTTTGATCGATTAAATTGAACACACTTGTGGATTACTACACGCCGTCGAATTGACAACGATAAAAAATTATGTCATACTTGGTACGTGTCTTTCGAGAATATGCTTCGCGTGGATATGATACCAACACACGTGACCAATGAGCGTCAATGTTTACGTATGGCACAAGGAAGCACGTCATGTTCTATAAATAGTAACTTATTTTGTTGTTGTTTTGAAAAATGCAATATTCATACGCCAAACCTTTAATCGTGACATGCAATACTTCTCTATAACGGCAGTATATTGTTTACCGACCTTAAGGTTCAATCAGTTATTATTGTTGATCGTGTAGAAAGTAGCACTGCAATCCTGCCAAGAAAAAGTATTGGACTATATTCTTCACATTGTACAAGGTGCGTAATAAGGACCACGAAAGTAAGATGGCTGCTGGGTTTTCCTGATCTACGATTGGGGTTTCGAAATCATTATATGTGACCATTCTTACACAAGTTGTCACTGAGTTTGAAACAAAAAACTATCAGTAAGAGAAAATGAGTGAGGCTATAGTGATAGTAGTGAAGCTGCTGGGACAATCTGACGATGTGCAGCCCGAGCCGTTTTATATTAGCCAAGGAATTTCATGGCGAGATCTTCGAGCGATGGTGAGACAACAATATTGAAAATTAGCTTCGAAATGTGCCTGTAAACCTCCGTGATTTTGTTTGGTTTTACTTTTATTTGATAAGTTATAAGTTAAGCATTGATGTTTTGTTTGAATTCGCTGTAGGTGCTAAAGAATAAGTGCTTAGATTTGAAGTAAAAGGGTTTGTTTACATCTTGTGGTGCAATGGTAGCCGACATTTTGTTGTGTTGTCATCCGTTGTAGGTCTACGTGTTCCGAATTTCAATTGGGATAAGTGACGTGTTGTTATGTCCAAATAATTGTTAAGTAAATTACGAAGTATTTATCAATATTTGGTGGTTGGATTAATGCAAAAACACCATTTCACGAAGACTGGTATGACCTACAAAAGAGGTCAAAGGTTTATCACGTATCGCCGTGGTCTCGCCATCAGCTGATTTTGAAAGCTAATCAGATTGACGATCGCGTTATAACAGCTATTCTAGAATAATTAATTTATTATTTAAATATTGAAGTTATGAACAGTCATTACATGTTAATACGTGGTCATGATTATATAAGTGTTTATGAAAAAATGTCAGATATGGATACACGTATGTTTGAATTGATGTGTCTGTAGAGTAGTAAATTTTAGATCATGATTATGTAAATTAAGTAACAATTACATTGTTGAATCGAAATATAGGTACAGGGTTGACCACCATACAAACACTCAATGGGGATGGAACAGGATATGATTACTCAAACAAGAAGGAAATTCAGTCACAGCTTTTCTCTTATCATGCTTATCACGCATATCATCCTTAATCATTTATTGGCAAAGTTCCAACAAGGATAAACTGCCCTAACATGCCCAAGGCATTGGTCATTTGATAAGTCACACGAATAGTTTTATATTTGCTGTCCACATTTCTCATCACCCTGTATACATTGTCTTTATTAGGATAAGAGTGGGGGATAGTCATAAAAGTAATCATGGTAATACACGTGTTTAGGGAGGGTTATGTGCAATAATAAAATATAAACTTCTTTGCATTTTGTAATATTAGGGGAAGGTCATACTTTCTTTGTATTAGTGCATCAAAAACTCTGAAAACAAGCCAAGGCTGGTTTACTTGAAATATTGTGGATGATCATGTGGATGTGCCCACAAAGAAATGTCACTTGTCCTTCCTGAACTTTTACTTCTTTTCAGACAAGAGGACTTGTGTTAATTTTGAATCCCTGTGAAAGGTACAGGGTTAGAAACTAACAGTTTTCGTCCACTAGTCCTTATATCAATAACATATAGCAAAACCCTTAAAAAGGGCAAATTTCTACTAGTCCTTATGATACCTTTACCATTGGGCAGTTTGGCAAGGACTATAGGACTAGTGCCAATTTCTAACGCTGAGGTACAGTGTTAAACACGTCCAAGGTATTCAAGGTTTCATGATATGTCTTGTTACCATCATTATTCAGACGAGTGCAGAGTACAGTCCCTGTCTGTTAGTTTTCTTTATATATGTATTGTTATATATTAATATATATTGTCAGATCGAGGATTCGTGTTAATTTACGTAGGTCATGGTTTCTGAATTCTTCCTCCAAGAGTCAGGTGTATAAGAATTTGTTGGTATGTTGTGTTTGGGGAACTGACTACTTTGACATCTATGATGAATCACACATCAGGTTATATAGCCCCAGGTACTTCTAGTCTCATAACACTATAGTCATATGTTGAGGTTACAAACGGTCAATACGAGGTTTGTTTGTTTGTTTGTTGTTTAACACCGTACTCAGCAATATTCCAGCTATATGACGGCGGTCTGTAAATAATCATGTCTGGACCAGACAATCCAGTGATTAACATCATGCGATCGATCCACGCAATTGGAATGGATGACATGCATCAACCAAGTCAGCAAGCCTGATCACCCTAACCTGTAAGTCGCCTCTTACGAGAAGCATGGTCACCTTTTTTACCCCGGATCTTCACGGGTCCAATACGAGGTTTAGTATCCTGTCCAGTACATGTTGACACAGTGGACATGTTACCACACATATACAAAGCATGTGAAATGTCACTCAAAGTTTATTGTGTCTGTGAAGATGCTCAATCATTTTCACACTGGACTCTGGACCACCTCCGTGGTCAAGTGGTAGAGCGTCTGTCCAGAGAGCTGATGATCCGGGGTTAGATCCTCGGCAGCGTCATTCCAAAATACAGTAAAAGATGGTATTTGTTGTAACCTTGCTTGGTGAATCCTTTGAAAAAAACCCAATAATAATAATGTGAAAGAATTTTGCTGCAATGATTGGAAGTATGTGTATCTGATTATATCAGGAATAATACTTTCCAATTCTGTGTTTTTTTATTTGCTGCTTTTCCTGTTTATAAAATAATAATAACCCTAAGCATGTAACTTTGGTACAGCTGATTGTTGTTGCCAGATATTGTTGACGTATGGAACAGTTTGACCAATAACTATTTCGATCACGAATATGTTTTGTTGACATATTATAGTCAGAATACAACATCTATGGCTTGAACTGGTCAAAGTATTGCATTTATAATATATATGTCCATTCTCTGTCAACTGAGGTGTCTTTCAAGGCTTTAGTAGCAGTAATCTGATTGTTGTGGTTGTAAATAACGGTGAGTTTGTGCGGTCTACCGATCTGTCCGCTCACAACTTCGTCGAAAATTAATGTAAACAATATGCAATGAAATTTTGATTAAAATTAATAAAATAGAGTACAAACACAAGTAATGATACTCTATTAACCCTTTTTATAACCAGATAGAGCTCGCTTCGTTTTGTGGCAGTTTATGAGAGAATAATGATGTTGCTGTACACAAAATTACAAAATGGCCGCCGGGTCTCAGTCTTATGAGACAAAAGAGATATATCTTTCTTTGAGTTAAACATTCACACGACCTCAACCCCCACAATATTTTCGCATCGTATTTACACGATGCAAGATTAATGTACAATTAAAAAAATCTTGGAGAAGAGGTGAAATTTTGGCTATCCAGGTGGGCCATCTACGCTACGTTATGTTTATCCAGCGTTAGAAATTGGCACTTGTCCTGTAGTCCTTGACCATCTACCCAAGAGGAGAGGTATCATAAGGATGAGTAGAAATTTGCTATTTTTAGGAGTTTTGCTATATGTTATCATTATAATTTAGTAGACTGAAACTGTTAGTTTCTACCCCTGTAATCTGTACACATAGTGAAGTTAGTAATGGTGTGAAAGTGTGTTACACACATCCATGATAGCTGTAACCTTATGAAGGTCAAGGTTTGAATAGGTCTAAAGCAAACCATGTTTGTCATAACTAGACTTTGATAACAATGTTGGGTGGTCAGATTCGCTGACTTGGTTGATGCATGTCATATCCCAGTTGATTAGATCAATATTTATGATGTCAATCACTGGATTGTCTGGTCCAGACATGGGTATTGACATAGTGAACTAGCTGGAGTGCAGTGTTAAACAACAAACAAACCATCTTCCCGAGGCAAGAGAGTTAACTGACTATAAAAGTCCAGTTTCCACCCTAACTAGGTTCGAATTCCTGGGCTCGATCGTAGTGCCACCAATAGTTATTATGAGTTATGTCTCTTCTGAGCCTCTCCTATGGACCAATCCGATTCCATCACTTGCATGCGTTTCAAACAAAATGGCTGCGCCCAGTCAAGACGATCTGATAGATAATCAAGATCTATATTGTGATAAAATGGGTCTTACATCGCAAAGTGCATCAAATCACGTTGGCACATTGATTAAAAACATTTGAAAAGGTTTGGAAAATATCTGTTGATAACGAGTTGGTGGTGTGCATGCTTTGCAAATCCTGCAATCGACCAAAATCTGCGCGACAGTTTATGAACCGGATTTCGATTTCGTTGCGCGAATTTGATTGGACTATGCATAGACTTGTTAGTCCAGCCAAAATGTAACTCCATAATACCAGCCTAGTTCGGCAAGGGTGGAAACTGGACTTTTATAGTCAGTTAACTCTCTTGCCTCGGGAAGATGCAAACAAACATGACAGTGGTGTTACAAGTTACACATAACTCTAGGTATCTTATCCTCTATATTAAGTGCCATTTCAGGGGTAGAAACTAACAGTTTTATTCCACTAGTCCACAATGATTACATATAGCAAAACCCTCAAAAATGGCAAATTTCTATTAGTCCTTATTTATTGGCCAGTTTGGCAAGGACTACTGGACTAGTGCCAATTTCTAATGCTGCCATTTTATTTTTATCTGTTAATGAATATGATGCAGCATCTACTTTCATGTTACTGGGTTTTGGTATTATGATTTATCAACTGAAATATACCGATACTGACTAAGAGACCAGTCATATATTACAGGGTTGGGTGTGTCAGAAGTTTTGATGCAGTGATCAGCTGGTAATGGACTGAAAATAATGACCCCACCCTAATGCTTGTCATAGTTTTGAATGACCCTCTCCATGTCCGTGTACATTTTTTCCATAACCCTCCCTGAAAAAACAAAATACCAGACACTTTATGTTTTACTATAAACTGACCATTTTTTCATGACCCTCCCCAAATATGTGTGTATTTTTTCAGGACTCCTACCCCGAGAGTCTGTCATAGTTTTTGGTAAGCCTACCCTGATTCCCTCTCCCTCAGGAAAGATAACTTTCACCTTGAAAACTTGGCTTATAACCAATAATATGCATGGTTTACAATCCACAATGTGAGCGTGGTGAGATGGCTGGGATTTTATTGAATGTAGTACATAATACGAGCATCCTGATCACATCCCATCCTTTCACCCTCATGTTCACCGTGAATGGAATAGACAAATCAAATTGATCCAAGTTCTAACCACTGCATTAAGAGATTAACAGCGTTAATTGTGTGAAATATTTAGCCAACTTATTTCAGAAGAACAATAAATGTGAGTTTAACGCCACTTTTAACAGTATTCCAGTCCGAAGGATTTAAGTATTAATATAGGGTTCATTTATGGAGTATAACAAATAAACTGTTAAATATTCCCTTGCCAAACAATGCATGTCTATAAATAAAGCACATACTGAACTGGTGCCATTTGATATTAAGGAGTTTTTAGAAATGTTTATTTTAGAATTTCCATTGCAGCTATTTTTGACAGCTTATCTTGAGCTTATCTTGAGCTCTGCGTTTGTAACAATGGATAACAAATTAACAAGAGGATGTCCTGTCACGAACCATGCATGCACTATTCTGGTAAATTTATTTTGGTTTTAGTGATTGTGTCAGTTATCATCATGATCATAGGCAAAACAAGGAAGAAGTAACTGAAACCGAAATAGGATATTTAATATGACTAGTTCTCGGGCTGTACTGTTCACTTCATGTTGATGCAGTGGCAAAGACACATTCCATTGTGTCTCCTTTCAAATACAACAAATGGAAAGTTTTGACACTTGACATGTTTGGGGGCATAATTTTTAAGTTCAGCTAGCACAGCTGTGTACAGAAAGTGTTACTTCCCTAAACTGATAGGATTAAGATTCACCCTGTTTGCCACCAAAGTGGTCAATGTCTGTCTGAAGTCTAACAGTCTAAGTTACATTAAGATTTCTTCCTTCTTTGTGGGACCCACCATTTGGTATTCTAGGGGGTAGTTGGGGGGTGAGGGAGGAAGGGCTGAGATTTTGTTTGGAGATTAGATATTCATTCAGCTGCATCTTGCAAAACCAGATATATTTTTTTACTTAAAACTATAATTCTAAGTATTTTTTTATATACAAATCAAGCAACAATGTATTTTTGTGGCTGACATTTTTTCAACACTCTAAACAATGTAATGCTAATACCATGGTATAATTAATTATGATCAAAGCAGTTTTAGGCAGAGCTACAGTTTCACCAAAAAATATCACCTGTCCCCAAGTTGAGTTGCTTGTGCACAAATACTCACTAAAAGTACTGCGAGTCATCACTCAATGTGGGGGAACGGGTGGCCCAATCGTCTAAAGCACTGCAAATCACTGTGCAGAGTTGCATCCCTTGTGGATGCCAGAAACCTATGTTCGTGGGTTCGAATTCGAAAAATGGTAAATATCCGAGACCTGCATCACTTTGGGCTTTCCTCCCACATTACGCTGATGCGCCATTATATTACTGGAATACTGTTTGATGCAGCGTTAAACCCAAATCACTCATCACCCAATGTTTCCTATTTTACTTTTGTTTTGTTTGTTTGTTTGTTTGTTGTTTAACACCACACTCAGCAGTATTCCAGATATATGACGGCGGTCTGTAAATAATCAAGTCTGGACCAGACAATCCAGTAATTGATGTTATGAGCATCTATCCTTGCAATTGGGATACAATGACATGCATCAACCAAGTCAGCGAGCCTGACCAGCCAATCCCGTCTTACGACAAGCATATTCTCCTTTTACGGCAAGCATGGGTTGCTGAAGACCTATTCTACCCTGGATCTTCACGGGTCGTAACTTTTGTACCTGTATTTCTTCACACATCTTTAGTTTGATGGAATGCAGTCTCACACCTACATGAAATACACTGTGGTAGATAACACATAAGAAATACAATTGGTCTTGCTTTTTGTTGTAGAGACGTGTTTATCGCTGTTGCAAGTTATGTGCCATGATACCATTGGCGCAGCACATAAACAGTTACAAATTGAATGTGACCTGCATTTTAAGCAGAATTATTAAAAACAAATGTCTACTCATTGGTGTGAAATGCCCAATAGACTGCACCCAAGGGCTTTCACATATTTTGGATTCTGAAAGAAAACTATGAAATACCCATTGTGAATGGTGAGTAAATATTCAACAAGTCATCTGGTGCCTTGTAACGACAACTCATTTACTCACATGTAATGGTTCTATTTCCAGTTACTGGCTCTGTATGACGACCAGCCCGATGAGCTAGATGTCCGCTACCAGGATGAAGATGGGGATCTGGTTAGTGATTTTAGTACTTAACAGTTCACAACACTGCATGTTTTTTGTATTTAACAGTTCATGCGACTGCATGAGCTAACCCATACGAACAGGCTAGGTTGAAAATGTCATCGTCATGAGAGCTCATGTTCTTATTGTCGTTCTTGTGGCTTCAAACGTTACATTGCATCAAAGATGCCTCTGAAACACATAGAATACTCTTTAAGTTTAAGCATGGCCCGAATATGCAAATGGCAGCCATTTTGAAAATGTCATTTTTCCTGTACTTTTGTTTGAGTGCTATTATCATGATTATTTGAAATTGGATAGTGACTTTGCTGGAGATAAATGGTGAACACTTTCATGATTTTATCAAGTTTTTCTACATCATTACCTAATTTGTAATAAAATATTTGGGATAAATTTGAGATAGACGCAACAGTGAGAGGGTCTTCTAGAGAGACAGAGCTCCAGACAACTTTTTGAGCAATTGAGTTTAGCTCCAGGGTTTCTATTTTAATCATGTTAATTGAGTTACCGTATTCGACGTAATAAGCGCCCAGGGCGCTCTCAAAATTAGAAATAGGGAGCTCTTATTAGAATGTTATTTTGGTGAAAAAAATATATTTGTTGTTGAGTTGACAGATAAATTTCGTGGTTCATGCTGACAGCCTGAATTGTTTATGTACGACAGATATATTTTTCCAGAATTAAATGCCCATAATTAAGGGTGCATATAACACACAAGTGCGTATTATACGCGAATAAATAAGTCTTGTGTACGTTGATCAATCGGAAGGGGTGCTAATTGGGATTGTTCACTAGCCAATATCTTAGCAAATGTCGCCGTGGGCGCTTATTAGAGCGGGGCGCTTATTACGTCGAATACGGTATTACATTTTTCATTGGGTAACCAATATTTTTACACTTATCTATTCATCACTCTTTTTGGTTTTCCCAAAATTAGTGAACATGTTAAGATTAAAAAAAAAAAATTAAATAATGTTTTAGATGTATATAACTTTTCTAAATATATAGGCTTCACTCGGAAAGTAAATTAGCTCATAATTGTGTTTCGGAAATTAGCTCCTTTGTACGCATGCTGAAAAAGCTTTAATGGGTATTTACACGTGCTGTTTTTATACATTTGAGTTCTTCATTTAATGCATGAGTTTCTGGATGCAAGTTTTGAAAGTATTTGGGTTTTGAATATTTTGAGGGAGTATTTTACGCAACTACACTGCTTATCAGTAGCTCTGAGAGAGGGGAAGGTCGTTTGATCCCAAGCCACGCCACACTGAAAGATGAAGAAGATAGACCAAGGATTGGTCAGCTCTGAGTTAGTATAATGTGTCTAAGTGGGGTATCCATGTTAAGTCAGTGGGCTTTCCCCAAAAGACTGGCAGAAGGCAAGATAAGTACACACAGCCACACACAAATGTGCATGCACATAGCCATACAAGTTAAATAATCTTGAATGTGACTTAAGTCCTATTTCTCATCTCCTCAGGTTCCTGATAAAATAATGTATGAACTGCTATGATCATTTTAACATTTGACTTTACATAACACTTGAAGTTTTGTGTTTGCTGCAGATTCAACACGTTCAGCATCGTTTACGTTTTGTAGTTTTGTGAAGCTTGATGTTTTGTATGTTAATATTATGATCTACTATCAAGGCAGCAATACTGAATTTTCAAGTATTTTGTCAGTCTGAGTTGATCCCTCCAATGTTAAGTAATGTCCATTCTTTAATTTCAGTGCATTTTGAGCAGCAATGACGAGTTACAGGAAGCTTTCAGAGTAAGTGATGAAATCTGCTGAAGCATAATTGTTAAACATTGTTAAAAGTTATCTTCTGACGCTTTGGTAAGAATTGTTATGTGTGAGCGTCATTTTCAGTGAATTTTAGTGTTATCATATGGCATTTATTACCTAATCTTACAGACTGAACAGAATGTTACTAGACGCTGGCATCAGACTAGTGGCTGAGGCAGACTGATGTTATACCATGTATACTACAGTGTTCAGTTGATGAACAGGCCTTTGTTCAATTTAAGTTGGATTACCAAATATTTGACCCAAATTTCAATGGTTGGTTTGTTGTTTAACGCCGCACTCAGCAATATTCCAGCTATATGACGTCGGTCTGTAAATAATCAAGTCTGGACCAGACAATCCAGTGAATAATATCATGAGCATCAATCCACGCAACTTGGATCTATGACATGCATCAACCAAGTCAGCGAGCCTGACCACCTGATCCCGTTAGTCGCCACTTACGACAAGCATAGTCGACTCAAATTTCAATAGACATGATATACATGATATAGGTGGTTGAAAAAATATATGATACAATTTCATGTCCAAATTTTCATGTGAACTTACAGTTTAGTGTTAGCTGCTGCAGTTGTACTTTGTATACACACACAATTATTTGGAATAGAAGTCCTAAACATGCTAAACATCAACGTGTATCTATCAGCTTTTGATTATCGACAGTTTGTCAAATGTGTGTGTTTTTTTTAATTTCAGTGAGTTTACATCATTTGGTTTTGTAAACTAATAAAAAAATGAAAGGCCCATTCAGATGACTGCTATATTTAGAAAAGTTTGTAATCAGTGATCTGGGGAAAAAATAATTTCCTCAGTTTTAAAATAAGGGTAAAAGTAGATTATTAGTAAACTTTCTCACTAATATTCATACCCTGCAATGTACCTTTGTTTGACCAACATCTGACCTCGGCCAGGAAATTAACATTGACAATCTGTACATATCATGCACAATGTGAACACTGCAAGATGGGCCTAATAAGTTCATATCTATCTGTTGCCAGTACTCATCAACTACGGCCAACGTGCTGCAGCTGAACGTGAAGGCCATGGACCAGGATAATGATTATGATCCAGCAGAGGTCCATATGATCCATGTGAACCCCCACTCACTGTTCACGGATGCAGAGAAGGAAGAACACAACCTGTTATCCCCCGGCCCGGGGAGGGTTCTTCAGCAGGCCTGCGTCAAACCACAGCCCAGGGTTGAAGCACTGAGGGATGCTGACAAGATTGAGATTCAGATAACACAGCACACCGACTGGTGAGGTTATATGTTTGTTTATTTTGTTTGTTTGTTTGCTTTTTGTTTAACAGGACCGCCTCCGTCGTCTAATGGTAGAGTGTCCAGCTGCGTCATACCAAAAGACGTTAAAAGATGGTATTTCTTGTTACCCTGTCTGGCCAGGGGTCCGGAAACCGTCATATGCGCCGGACATGTCCGATTGGGAATCTCAAATGTCCGTTTTAAAATATTGCTTACCGGACATTTTAAAAAGTATTGTCCGGACATTCTTAAATTTTGACCGGACATGATCAACAGTTAGGACTGATTCTGTCTGCAGTTGCAACACAATGAAGATTAACTACACTGACAAGCTTTGTTTGTTTTGATTGCTGTAAATACATCGTACCTACATGATAGTCCAATCTGTCAATCACTGTAATAGGCAATAAACTGAGTTGACACTGATTAATCGAGGATTAATTACTGAGAACATCTTGTTAATTTGAGTGAAAGGTGTTTACAACTGTACATTAATACCTTGCATCATCGATGTACCTCATTATCCTCACAATGCTACGATACGTAGCCTCAGACAAGAAGCGAAAGCGTGACGACAGCCAGTCGACCGATGCAGATCAGTTGGGCGGATCTGCCAAACAATGAGGATTTGCAGATTTTATTGTTTTCAGTAGCTAGTCGTATATTGAATCTTGATTGACCGCCATTTTGCTTTCTCGGACGATCGATATCCAATTTTTTTATGGTCAATAATTAAGTACAGATGAAAAAAGTATTCAAATAACTATTGCTATCAACGATATTTTAGTATTTGTGATTAAAATATCTGTCTTGTTTTTAAAAAAATCTTTAGTTTAAAAAAAACCCTTTTCCCGTGAGGTCACGTGATAACCAAATATGGGATAATAGTCTCGATCCAAATGTTACAATGCGTACACTTGAGCAGACTCATGAATATAACTCATGAATATTAATTAGACCGTTCACTACGTTAACAGATCGTTATTATAACAGAAACAAACATATTTTTTCCATGTAAATCTAAAATGATATTATTTGTTATTAATTGTCCGGTAAATTAAACAATTTAAATTGAAACAATTCATAATTCATCATATTATGAATACGTAAACTTGTAATGTGTGTGAAAAGTCGTACTAAAATACGCTATTTGAAGGGGGAGTGGCCTAAATGCAAATGTCCGATTGGGATTTTAAATTTTCCGGACCCCTGTGTCTGGCGCTCGGCATTTAGTGGCTAAAACTATACTGTGTCTGAGAGGGGTATTCATGTTAAACTGCGGCATGGTATCTCAGTGTGCTGGCACTATAAATCGGCATCAGTCCGGACTAGTACAAGCAGCCACACACACACACATACACGGGCATGCACGTCGCTATATACGTGCATGCACGTCGCTATATAAGTGCAATAATCTTGGACGCAACGTTAAACCCCATTTCACCTTTTTGTTTAACACCGCACCCAGCAATATTCCAGCTATATGACGGCGGTCTGTAGATGATCGAGTCTAGACCAGACAATCCAGTGATTGACATCATGAGCAATTAGGATACAATGACATACATCAACCAAATCATCTAGACTGACCACCCGATCCCGTTAGTCACCTGTTACGACAAGCATGGTCACTTTTAATGGCATGCATGGGTTGCTGAAGACCTATTCTTCCCCGGATCTTCACGGGTCCCAGGTTATATGTACATTTGACTTGTGTGTGTTATGTGAGCTATGAATGGCAGAGAATTGGTTCAGATATAGAGATACAGAATTGACAGAAACAAAAATATTCGTCTTTAGCAATGTTCTGTTGTAAAGTACAAGTTCAGATTCCGATATTCGGCCCCAAGTCTGCAGCAAATGTCATTGAAATATTTCCAGATCGAAATTAAAAATTTCCCAATTCATGTTAATATACTCACCACCAAAAGAACAATGTAGCATAGAAACATATAGAGAAGTATCTACGTTAAGAAGAGATGTTTCCTATGTGTACCACTTAATGACAAAACTAACAGTCAAGTGTTACCACAAGTATTCTTATGACGATATTCTGTACGTGATTTCCAAACTTTACACGCTAATCCTGCACAAGACCAATGGTGCATCTCTAGTATGGATCTATGATATCACATGTGATGCGTTCATGGGCATTGTTTCACACAACATACCAGTATGTTCGTTTATGCATCAAGCCAATCTAATATCTCTTGAATATTGGTAAATCTTCATATATTATCCAACATTTTACATTATGTTTACATGGTTTATATGCAATTCATAAGCACATGAATATTTTTCTTCTGAAAACTGATTTTCGCCGCGAATAGCTGCAAAATTGCTGATGCGGCGTTAAGCAATATTCACTCACTCACTCTGAAAACTGATTCAGCAGGAGTTGCTTCACTTGTAGTTGCTAAAGTCCGTTAAAGTCCACTAAAGTCCAGTGTATGTTAACGACTTGGTTGTCCACCAGGAGTCATGCATGTGTTGTGTCTTGTTCTGCAGTCAACCTGAAGTAGCTTCAGAGCTGGCCGAGACTGGCGAGGTGACACCTAACCATGTGTTTGATGAAGAGACTGGACTCATCCACAACCAGGTGAGTACGAGAGACAGGTGTCGTGGGTTGAGGGTGTTTTGTCTTTTAATAATGACAAGTTTAGAATATTGTTGACAAGGATGGAATATGACCTGCATCAGTGTGCATTGTTCCCTAGCAGTGATCAGTGTTCACTCTACTGTCAGTGGTCCACACTGTCATGTTGCAGTGACACACAATCAGCTAGGTGACGGGTTTAATCACTATGCCCTCATTGTAGACAAGAGAGAGAGAGAGAGAGAGAGAGAGAGAGAGAGAGAGAGAGAGAGAGAGAGAGAGAGAGAGAGAGAGAGAGAGAGAGAGAGAGAGAGAGAGAGAGAGAGAGAGAGAGAGAGAGAGAGAGAGAGAGCAAAAGCAAAATATATGCGTTTGTAATCCCCATTTCGCTTCACCTCAATAATAAGGTATTTATATAATGCTGAAATGCACATCACTACGGGACATGCTCAAGGTGCTAAAACTCCAGTAGACACTGATCAGCATATATGCTGTCATGTTGTCCTCAGATCCTGCCAGAGCCCATCAAGCCTGCTTACCATGAACCTGTGGTACGGAAGAAGGCTTGTTACTATGAAATCCAGGGCAGTGACCTGGCCTCAAACGAGATGGACAAGCTGGTCAAGCATGTTGCAGACAAACTTGGTGGGAGTCAGGACCAGGAGTCTGGAGAACTCTCCTCTGCGAAGTCTGAGGAAGGAGAGGCCATGCCATACCAGGCATTTGTACATTTCATGGAGAAGGTGAGTGTTGATCTTGTTGAGTAATCACTGGTGATGGAGATCACCTCTGTCCTTTATCAATGATTTATTTGAGCAAATTACTGGATGATTGATTAATCCTTTTTATCCTTTCTGTTTATTTTATCACCCAGAATGATAAATATACTGTGACATTGTTAAGAGCTTTTTCGTATTATTTGTACAAATTATCAAGAAAACGAGTTTGATTGTGGAGGGTTCCCCTTCCACAAAGCGATCCTAGCACTGCAACTGTTGTAAGTCTATGTAAAGTATAGAAGTCACGAACATCTTGGGGCTACAATCGCTTTGTGAACGGGGCCCTGATCTTGATGGTTTACAATCTCAACATTGATTGTGATTATTATACCCCCGACCTTTTAGGTCGGGGGTATATAGTTATACCAAGGTTCAGTCCGTCCGTCCGTCCGTCCGTACGTCCGAAAACTTTGTCTGCGCGATTTCTCTTAAACTATTCAGTGGATTTATCTCAAACTTAGTAAATATATAATCTGTGTCATATGGGGGGATGTTGTCAAAAGAAAAAAATTGTTTTTATTAATTTTCCATTTTTTTATGAATTTTTCAAACCCTAACCCTATCCATTATTTAATTTTAAACTACTGACACACTAGGCGGGTCGGGGGTATTAGTGAGCCACGCTCACTTTTGCCCTTGTTTATACGGAAGTCACTACTTTCTGCTATGTAATTTGAAAAAACAAACCAGGTGAGGCTTAGTGTTGTGTCATTGGCGCCAAACAAAGCTATTGAGGCAATTGTGTCCAAGGTGTCTATCATACAAGAATGAAGATATAATTCACTGGAACTAGTTTAGACTGAAACCTGTTCACAAATGTCACTGAATATGGGAACATTTGACAGAATGGATGAGGAGTTGCTTGAGTATACATGGTAAATGTTTTACCCATAGATTACAAGGATTGATTTCTAAGCCTCACATAGAAGGAATTGGGTCATAATGAAATCTTTTGATGTGGAGATTATGTCATAGAGATATGTCCACCAAAGTCAGTTGAGCAAATACTTTTGCTAAGACAAGTCAGAAAAATGAGCAGGGGTGTGTGAACTTTATTTTGGCGGACATAAAGTATTGGTGTGTTGAATCAAATGTGCGTGTTGGTCAGTCTGGTCTCCCTGTATGACTAGTTTCATTATCAAGTCATGCTCCGTATGTATGATGTGACTGTTGATCAGTTGAAATTTGGAGTGAGCTGGAAGCTGCTTGTGTCCTTGAATCGACTGTACTGATGAGCCTTTCCCTTTCAGCTGAAGCAGGAGCTTCGGAATGAGATTGTGCATGACGTCACCAAGAAGACAGTCAAGCAGGTGCTCCGTGGCCTGGACACAGCCTGGCCATATGGTGCCCGCGACCGCAAGGAGAGTCGCAGCTCACATCGTATGTACATTTTCCTTCAAATAATTGTTCAGTTGCCAGTTATGTTTTTTGGGAGATGAAAGGGGTAGTGTTTCTGACAATTTTTGGACCCCTGGGGATTTCTGGGTAGCACTGGTCCCAGTGTTGGCACATCCTGTGTTCAAGAAACAAATCAGGCAAAGTTAAACATATTGGTCATGGAGAGTAGGTGGATTGTTGCCTGGGTGCAGGCTTCTCTCCCTAGCGTCAGCCCGGAGGGCAAAGGTCCGGGGTACGGGCCCTGGCCGTGTGATACCTACCAAAAGACATTAAATGATGGTACTTGTTGTTACCCTGTCTGGCACTCAGCATTAAGGGGCTAAAACAAGGACTGGTTGGCTCGGAGTCAGTATACTGTGTCTGAGTGGGGTATTCATGTTAAACTGCGACATGGCATCTCAGTGGGCTAGCGCTATAAATCTGCATCAGTCCGGACTAGTACAAGCAGCCACACACAAGGACGCGACGCTAAACCCCATTTCACCTCACCTCACCTTTGCCAGGGCTGAAACACAGGTGAAACTTTAGTCAAGTGACTAAGTTTGAAATATGCCTCTGTTCAACCCAGCAGTGAAAGGGTACCCAGTAGAATGAAATGGGAAGGTGACTGTTAACCTTCTCGCACCTTATAGACTGCTGTATACTCCTCCGGTAGCTGAGAATGACATTTGAGAGCTCACTCATTTCCGGTGTCCCCCACCATGATATTGCTTGGATATTGCCAAAAGCGGTGTAAAACCATACTCATTCACTCACATGAGAGCACACTGATCCCTTTTTGAGGGTAACATTGGTGTCTGGTCTAGATTTGGTTATTCACAGGCTGTCATGATCATAGTCACCTATCTTGACTATTGCTGGTGTGGTGTTGCTGGTCTACTTTGGTGTGTTGTTTAGACTTTGCCTTTGTGATGTTTCTAATGAGACTAATATTTACTTTACAGCTTTGTATTTACACGAGAAGATTCTGTGTGACAAGTGTCAGAAAACCATCATTGGACCAAGATATAAGTGCGGGTAAGTCAAGCTATGGCCCTAGAGTAGACAAAGCAGGAACACTTTCACGTTCACAAGGATATGTATGTACTTTACATGTGCTGCACTGAAGTGATTCTAGAAAGATTTGTAGATTTGAATATATTTTTCCATAGAACCATTAGGACCTAAAGTTTAAATCAGGCAGGTGTTTCTGAAACTTTCCAAACTGTATCGCCAGTGTTTCTTCATATTTCCTTCACCTATGAACATGATGGAGATCCGGGTTAGAATTGTATCTTCAGCATCCCATGCGTGTCGTTAGAGATGACTAACTGGATCGGATGGTCAGGCTGGCTGACTTGGTTGATGCATGTTGTCATATTCAAGTTGCTTGGATCGAAGCTCAGGATGTCAATCACTGGATTGTCTTGTCCAGATTTGATTATTTGCAGACTGCCGTCGTGTAGCTTGAATATTGCTGCGTTCAGCGGTACACAACAAACAAACATGGTATTTCCATGGTTATGAAACAAATATTTCATTGACAGCAACTGCCCTAACTTCGACCTGTGTGAGGATTGTGAGAGCAAGCCGGGGATCCACAACCAGGACCATGTGTTCCTCAAGCTGCGACGCCCGTGTCTGGATGCTGGACTGAAGGAGGGCCGCAAGGTGCCGCTGCTGAAACACCTGCTGTACGCAGACAACACGGAGAGACACACCGAGGAGCATGACCGACTCCGAGCCTGGAAGTAGGTGCCCATCATGTCATGATAGGAAACAAGGAAGCAATCCTTTTGTTGTATCAGGAAATAGATCGCTAGCATTTATTTACATAAAATATTTTTTTCATTTTATTGAATTTCAACTCACTTTCTGTGTCTTATACAGTTGTCGTAATAAAGACATTTGTTGTATTATAAAATGTTCTTCTGTAGGGATGAATATAGCCAGTTGCATTTTGTAATGGAAACTTGACAAAATCAACTGTAGATCTGCACATTATATATATTTGATCACTTTGGTGACATAATAACTAAAGCTGTGGATATGTTTATTTTTTGGGGCAGTGATTCGCTGTGTAGAGTTGCGTCCCTGGGGCATGCCAGAAACCTATGATTGTGGATTCGAATCCCGGTTCGCCCCGATTATGTTTCTAGGTTTGTCAGCACCATACCCGTGCTCGTGGGTTTTACCAAAGTGGTAAACATCCAAGGCCTGCATCACTTCGGGCTTTCTTCTCCCATTAAGCTGACATGCCGTGATATAACTGGAATACTGTTAAAAACGGCGTTAAACCCAACTCACTCACTCACTCATTATATATATTGTATTATATCCCTTTACATATATTATGTTCAAAAGATACCACCATTAATTAAGCAGTGTATATTGCGTTAGACAGAATAATGTTATGTTTCTACATGATTATCACATGTTGACTTGAATGCCTCAGTTCTGTTATCACATGTTGACTTGAATGCCTCAGTTCTGTTATCACATGTTGACTTGAATGCCTCAGTTCTGTTATCACATGCTGGCTTGAATGCCTCAGTTCTGTTATCACATGCTGGCTTGAATGCCTCAGTTCTGTTATCACATGCTGGCTTAAATGCCTCACTTCTGTTATCACATGCTGGCTTGAATGCTTCAGCCCTGTTATCACATCCTGTTTGGATTCCTCAGTGCGGTTATCACAAACTGTTTTCAATGTATGCAACTCCTTTGTTTCAGAGTGGCTGAGAAGTTGGCTCGACGCCAGGAGAAGATGAAGAAGCGTGAGGAGAAGGTGCAGGAGAAGCAGAAGAGGAAGGAGGACAAGCTGAAGCGCAAGCTGGAGAAGCTAGATGTACCCGCCATGAAGGACCATCCCCAGAAGAAGGAGAAGGTTGAGTCCAACGCACTCCCCCTGCCACAGTTCAAGTATCCCTATCAGTAAGTCCAACCACTCCATTTGCCATACTCCAACTACCTCCATTACTATGTTCTGAGACCACAAACTCCCTGCCACAGTTCAAGTACCTGTCAGTATGTTCAACCACTGCCTCTGCCACAGATCAAGTACCCCAATCAGTAAGGGAGAGACAACCCTCTCCCCTGCCACAGTTATGTCCCCACTCACCTTGCCACAGATCAAGTACCCCAATCAGTAAGAGAGAGACAATCCTCTCCCCTGCCACAGTTATGTCCCCACTCACCTTGCCACAGATCAAGTACCCCAATCAGTAAGGGAGAGACAATCCTCTCTCCTGCCACAGTTATGTCCCCACTTACCTTGCCACAGATCAAGTACCCCAATCAGTAAGGGAGAGACAACCCTCTCCCCTGCCACAGTTACGTTCCCTACTTGCCTTGCCACAGATCAAGTACCCCAATCAGTAAGGGAGAGACAATCCTCTCCCCTGCCACAGTTACGTTCCCCACTCACCTTGCCACAGATCAAGTACCCCAATCAGTAAGGGAGGGACAATCCTCTCCCCTGCCACAGTTATGTTCCCCACTCACCTTGCCACAGATCAAGTACCCCAATCAGTAATGGAGAGACAATCCTCTCTCCTGCCACAGTTATGTTCCCCACTCACCTTGCCACAGATCAAGTACCCCAATCAGTAAGGGAGAGACAACCCTCTCCCCTGCCACAGTTATGTTCCCCACTCACCTTGCCACAGATCAAGTACCCCAATCAGTAAGGGAGAGACAATCCTCTCCCCTGCCACAGTAATGTCCCCACTCACCTTGCCACAGATCAAGTATCTAGTAAGTGTGATGAAGCCCACTCCCCCAGCCATGGATTTCAATTGGAGATGAGTCTGTGCTTTGTCTACTATAAACTGCATTTTAAGGAACACATTTCCTGCATTTTGGGAACTGAGTTAGCGCTCTGCGCTCTGTTTTTTTTTTTAAAGTGATGTTGTTCCTTTATTGCAGGGTTCTGGGAGCTGAGTTTGTGCGAGACATCACGATCCCTGACTACACGCGTGTCCAGCCCGGAACTCGTATGCGGAAGACATGGAGGATGAAGAATACCGGCAGCCACCAGTGGTCAGCTTCCACCCAGGTCAGTGCCACCACACACAGGTGCCACCCTCACCATCTTGACCAGGGGTCATGTGTCTTGTACAAATTTCCAGAGCTCGATAAGGACCAACATGTCCCAACTTGTGTTGATTATGTGGCATGCTGATCTTGAATATTTTTAAGGGGTCCACAGTCAGTGCCCAAGACATTTTAGCCTTCTGTTTCAAACTTGTCTCTTGGCATCATTTTCGGTCCATTTTGGTTTTAACATATTGACCTCATGGGGATTCCAGGTTGGAATTGGCCCCCAGCAACCTATGCGGGTTGTAAGAGGCGACTTAATGGATCGGGTGGTCAGGCTCGCTGTCTTTGTTGATTCATGTCTTCTGTGAACCCCAACAGTGTTGATTGTTACTCACAATATCAATCACTGGATTGTCTGGTCATGATTCGATTATTTACAGGCTGCCTTCATATAGCTGGAATATGGCTGTGTGCAGCACACACAGACACACACACACACATTAACATATTGATTATTATTAGCTGTAATTTCTGGACTAAACAACACTTTACTAGACTCTGTTTCGGTGGTTGCATGCTGGTTAGAACTGTTACGAAGTGATTCATTTGGCATGGTTACATTTTCAGGCTTACACAAAATCTGCCTATACCTTGCAGATGTCACCTTATAAATGTCATTAAGATAAATTTGGTTGAAAAGATTGCTCAGTGGTGAACAATGGTAAATCTCAGCACACAAAGCATTTTAAGAGGGGTCCAGATGAAGTCCTTGTTCTCCATGATGTACAGGAAGTGATGTGTTTGTTGGTTGCAGCTGCGACTGATGTGGGGCACCATCCCTGCCCCCAAGACTGAAGTGTTTGTCCCTGCCCTGCCCCCCAGCCAGGAGGGCAACATCACTGTGGAGCTGATCGCCCCAGAGGACCCAGGTCAGTTACAACTTCACTGCCAGTACACCCTGCTTGTTGTGAAAGTCAGTGAGATGGGGATGAGGTAGTCATCATGGCTGATGGAAGGGTGGTTTTATGAAGTCAAAATTAACTGACTGATCTGTATGTTAGGGGCGTATTTTATGCTCACTCTCTAAAGAATATGCAGATGATATGCTCTACCTCTCTCAAACCTAGAGGGATGGTGGGTTAGCCTAGTGGTTAAAACAGTCTGGTTCAATCCCCCATATGGGTACAATGTTTCAAGCCTATTTCTGGCTCCCCTGCCATGATATTGCTGGAATATTGCTAAAAGCGATGTAAAACCATTCTCAGTCTTGCTAAAACCAAGGCTTAACGTGTTAGTTAAATATGAAAACTACACCACAAGGCAGGTGTATATATTCATGGGTGAGGATTGTACACAAATTGATAAAGTCCTTGATGTTTACCCCTTGAGTTGATCCAGTCCTGTGTAGAATAAAGAATTAGTTTGGAGTGACAGATGATGGTGGTGTGGATAAGTAAGATACAATAAGGGAAGTTAATAAAGATTTATTGATGATTGCAGGAAGATACCAGAGTCACTGGAAGCTGTTTGACCGAGGGGTGAACTTCGGCCACAGAGTGTGGTGCTCCATTGCTGTGGAGCCCAAAGAAGTCCTGGAGCCGACACGTCCGGACCAGCTGAAGATGGTGGAGTCCACAGAGGGACAGACAGAAGCACAGACAACTGTAGCCTGCAAGGAAGAAGAGGAGGACCCAGAGGAGAAGTTTGAGGAGGTATTGTCCTTGAGACATTTTGAGTGCATGATGAGTGACTAGACATTCTACCTGCCATTGTACACCTGTGAAGATTCCGGTGTAGAATAGGTCTTCAGCAACCCATACTTGCCGTAAAAGGCGACTATGCTTGTCGTAAAAGGCGACTAACGGGTTCGGGTGGTCAGGCTTGCTGACTTGGTTGATATGTGGATCGATGCTCATGCTGTCAATCACTGGATTGTCTGGTTCAGACTCGATTATTTACAGACCGGCGTCATATAGCTGGAATATTGCTGAGTGCGGCGTTAAACAACAAACAAACAAACCTGCCATTGTAATTGATAACTTCAGATGGTGTTGTGTGTCAAGTTTACTGAGTGAGAGTATTACTCACTTAAGTCCCTAAATGTTACTGTTTACTGACTAATTTATCACTCAGGACCGTTTTTGTATGTTGAATACATCATAGCTGTTTTTGGGGTTGTAAACAAATCCTTATTTACACAATTTGCCATATTCTATCAAGTCCAGGGCCATGTTCCACACAGTGATCTTAGAGCTAAGACAATCATAATTCATATATGTTAACATAGACAAACGGCAGTCGTAGCATGAACATCGCTTTGTGGATCGGGCCTCTGTGGGTGGTCTGGCTGGACCATCTTGTGATGCATTCGTATTAGTTGAAGAAATTTTTTGATCTGGAGTAGGACATCAGAATGTTTGTATACTGATCCCACTATTTGTTTTTCCTCTGCAGCCCCAGGTTGATGATCCAGCCGAAGAAATTTTCCTTGAGGCTGTGGAAGAGAAACAGACAACCCCTTTCATCATGGCCTCCAAGCTTGTCCCTGCCACTGTTATCCCAGAAGTCAAGGAAGAGGCAGTGGTTGAGGTCAAGGTCAAGGTCGAAGAGAATGAGGTTAAAGTGGAAGAGAGTGAGGCCAAGGTCACAGAGAGTGTGGCTACACAGGTGGAAACTCAGGTGTTGGAGGCGGTGAGCAAAGCTGGCTTGTCCAAATTTGGTGAAGCTACTGCAGTAGAGGGCGTGGTTGACCTACTTTCCTTTGAGTTCCTTGATCTGTCGGATAGGAAGACCTCCAAGGCCTCACAGACTGCGACCCCCAACAACACTCCTCTTGGTGAGTATTGTACATGACGTAGGAGGGAGTTTGGTTTATTGCTGTGACAGTTTAATGTGAAGGAAAGTCAAAGGGATGACACTGATTGACCATGAAATGTCATTTTGTTTTTTAAATCAAGACCAGCTGATCTAGGTATTATGGCCAAGGGGCAGAACCCACAATTAAAACTTGGCAGTTTGCAAATGATAATTTTGCTGCCATTATTGTCATACCAAGCAGCAACAAACAGTCCTCGACTTTATCCACAAGCTTGGAGCATCAGTCCAATATATTTTCATTCTGTTAGTTTTAGTTTTGTTTTGATGCCTATGACGTGCATGTGGCACGTCCCTCACGATAATTGATGATGTGGGGTATGTATTTCAGATGTGAGTCCTCCTAAGTCTCCAGCTCCAGAGCCCTTTATTCCTGCAACAGTGTCCAACAGCAGCAGCGTGGAGCTTGTGGGCAGCGAGGCTGAGAATAACCTGCCCCACCTCACCGAGTACGTCCAGCAGAGGATGGCCAGCCTGGAGCTGAAACCAGGTACATGTCTCCATGTGATACTCATCTCAGTGTCTCAGTAAGACTGAAGACAGATTAGCTTGATTTGCAACTGTTTGCTTAAAGCCACAGTCATCAGTTGTGATTTAGACTGCACAATCCAGTGATTGATTTTATGAGCAACGTGATACAATCACACATAATCAGCTATGTCTCTGAGTCTTACCTCCCGATCCATTTAGTGCCTCTTTCAACAACCATACGTCAAGATTGAGGTCTGTACTTGAGATCAAATCTCAAGATATCACTAGAGATTGTTTCCTAGCTGTACATGTACAACAGCTTTTGTCCCACGATATGAAGGGTATTGAAGATTCTACATGGATGATTGTTATATTGAAAAGTAAATAACTGAAATCCTTTTTTGTTTCAGATACATTTGATGAAGCTGACATTGAGTCTCTGAGCAGCCTGTCTCTGTCTGACGATGACTCTGATGACTACTGCATCGTCCCCTTGCCCGACTGCTTCAACACTGAGATGCCTCTCACACGCTCGGCGGCTGGACCACTGGATGACAACCAGAACGAGATTGGGGTTCCAGGTGAGACCCGAGAATCTGTTCTCTTTGTACAAAGACCGCCCCCGTGGTCTAGTGGTAGAGCGATCGCCCAGAGAGCGGAAGGTCCAGGGTTCGATTATTTGCATTGTTGCACTGACTTGTTGCTTAGGGAAGTTTGCAAACACTTGAAACATCAAAGCTTGGATTTAGTAGCCAGACAGTAGGAACATCTTGCAGAAAATATTCTCAGTGAAAAAAGATTTCCCCCAATATCCATGCCTGAATTTAATGGGTAATATTGCGATTCGATATAGGCATGGCTCGGGAAGCTGAAAGTAGGAAGAAAATATGTTTAGTAACTTGTCATTGGCATGTGAAATGACAGCTAATCGGATGGAAGTTTCAACAAGGATATTATGGAGGACAGCACCTTGGATATAATCAATATGCTTATCAGCACTTCCTATAATCAGAAGACCTGTCAAGTTTAAGCTCTGTATGTGATTTTCAAGTCACTAAATCTATCACCTGTAATATCATGAATATATTTTTACCAAAAATTATAATAAAAAGAAATAGTGTTAAATAGGAAATATATTTTCAACTGATAATTTAGAGACATTGTTCACAGACTTTGGTTCAGGTAAATTGCTGTAGTGTAAATATTGATAATGGAACAGGCTGACACTTCCTTCCTTCTGTCATCCAGATGAGAATCTGTCAGAGGAAAGGAGTGTTACTCCTCAGCCCTCGCTGGACGAAATCCTCACCACGTCCAGTGTAGTCTCAACACCAGCTCTGGACCCTGAGCCAGCAGCCCAGAGACAGGAGGTCATGGCCCCACCACAGGAAGTAGAAGGGGAACAACTCCAGCTGGATGAGACTGAGACAAAGCAGAAGCAGTTTGAGGAGGAGGAGGAGGAGGAGGAGGCGGGAGAGGAAGGAGCAGCTTCCGCAGCTGTGCCGATGCAGACAGCCAGGGTCGTGGATGAGAATCAGAACTCAGAAGAGGATAGGGAGGGAACATCTCCTGTTCAGTCTACGTAAGTTATTTGAAGCTGTCATAAAATCTTGTGTTGATCTGGTTTCAGTGTCCAAGAGTCCATATTTTAGACCGCTGACAGATGGTTGTACTATGTATATGAATATCGTTTTGAAATGGTAGTGATTATAAGAGTGTCCTTTCTGTCATGAATATTTCCTATGATGAATTGGATTGATATCTTTTGCCAAATCCCTTAAAACTTTTTTTTATATTATACTGATTTACAATTGGAACCTGGTTTATGTTAAGTTTTTCTTTGTTTGTTTGTTGTTTGATGCTGCACTCAGCAACATTCGAGCTATGTGATGGCAACCTGTACAATCAGTGGACCAGATAAACCAGCAACATGCTATCACACAAGTGGCCCAGTCGTCTAAGGCGCCACGATTCGCTGTGCAGAGTTGCGTCCCTTGGGGACGTCAGAAACCTATGATTGTGGGTTCGAATCCCGGTTCGCCCCGATCATGTTTCTAGGTTTGTCAGCACCATACCTGTGCTTGTGGGTTTCACCGAAGTGGTAAATGTCTGAGACCTGCATCACTTGGGGCTTTCCTCCTACATTAAGCTGACACTCAGTGATATAACTGGAATACCGTTAAAAGCGGCGTTAAACCCAACTCACTCACTCACTATCACACAAGTTCCCAAGCCTCACCACCCAATCGAATAAGTCGTTTCATAGCAGGTTACTCTGGACCAATTCTAACCAGGAATCTGCTCAGAAGTTACTCTAAAGAAAACTGTACAGATAGTAATCTAGGGCTAAAGATTTGTAGTGTATGATGAAATGCTTGATACTACAGTTACATAGTGTGTTGATTATCAGAGTTGAAATGTACGGTTCATTCTGTTCTGTTACAGTCCATCAGAATTTGTGAACCAGCTGTTCCACACAGCTATCGTCGCGGCAACGAAGGCTGGCGCCAAAGCCTACAGCACCACCAAGGATGTGTTCAACTCTATGCAGGCCAAACAGGTATGTGAGGTCTGTGGGTTAGGTTGAGTACCCCATGTCTGTGCAGGGTTGTTCGTCATTGTCGTGATAGAGTTCTTTGATTGTGGGTTCAAATCCCAGATCCACCTGTACATGGTTGTTGGTTTGTCACCACCCATCCATGATTGTGGGTTTCATCAAAGTAGCAAAAGTCCAAGGTCTGCAACATTTAGTTATCTCATTCCAGATTAGACTGGTGCATCAACTGTATTGTTCAGTGATGTTTGTGCTGTAAAAGCAGCAAAGCAGTTTGCAAGAAAACTACATGTTGATATTAATAATATAGCTTTTTATAATAGGTATGTGTCTAAAAATTAACAAGTAACTGAAGTCATTTTGAAATTTTGAATTGCACCGTTCTGTATCGGAAAACAAAGATTACCTGGTACCAGTGATAGAAATGAATTCAAGGGCTTCAATAGATGCACCAGCATTTTAAAAATTTGAAATTTCTATTGCACCCTTATGTATGACAATACCATTTCAGTCTGCTGACCTTGAAATGAAAAATCAAAAGAAGAAAAACATCAAAATGACAGGGGTTAATTTTATACCGCTGGCAGTAAAGATCTCTTCAAGAGAAATAATAATCCAAGCGATTTTTATGTCTAAAAGAGCATTTTTTTCATGATAAATTGTCAGTACATGTCAAATAATTACAATATTTATAAGGAACCAAACTAGGCCAAATTATTCATATTTTGTATTAGATACCAATCTAAATCGGACTTTAACATGATAAAAATCCAATACAATGCATATATTAGAAACATAATTTTTCACTATCAAAGTCTGTTAAAAAAAAGAAAGAAAATAAACATCTGACCTTATGAATTTATATGTCTAAGTGCATTTAATTACCCCCCAAAAAACAACAAAACAATAAAAAACAAACCAAAAACAACAAAACAAACAAGAAACAAAAAAACCCAGCAAACAAACAAACAACAAACAGACCTAACTATACTTCTGCCTACCATGTATACAAACTCCTTCCTCTTACAGTGGAAACATAATGAGAATGGTTGGACACCTCCCAAGAACACCTGGACACCCGCTGAGAGTACTTGGACACCCCCAGAGGACAATTATGTCCCCCCTCAGAGCACTTGGACTGGTCCAAACCCCCAAGAGCCCAAGCCTGTGACCAGTAGTGACCCCATGGTCCGTCTGATGGAGATGGGCTTCTGCAACCGTGAGCTGAACAAGGGTCTGCTGGAACGTTTCAATGGAGATCTGGAGCCTGTCATTCAGGAGCTCCTGCAGCAGGCGGACAGTGATTGGTCAGCTGCCCGACATGGATTAGCCAATCAGTGACCTGCGTTACCAGACGGGAGAGAAAGACTGAGCGAATGATCATGTCGAAAGGAGAGCGATAGTTTCTATTTGAACAGCGTCTGGTTTGTTGTGTGGAGTGTGATGGAATTTCGACTGGTTGGAACAGAAACATGGAATGATGTACATAGTTGGAGTGAAGATGTAGAATAGGATATTAGCATATGTTCACTTGTACAGCGATCACACGAACAAGCAAATTTTTTATCATACATATACACTGATGTCATTCACATGCTTCTAGAATTTGTTTTTGTGTATCTCCAGTTCTCCCCAGTACTGACTGGAAAACCTTGTTCATGGGATTACACTGAGAGTTGATCTTGTCTTTATTTAGCTTTGAAATTGATAATTTAGCTTTGAAATTGAATTTAAATTATGGGATGTACTGTCAATGTTCTATCTCAGATTCTTTGTTTAGATAGGCTCTTTGAGATATGTTATGATTTCATGTTATTGATATGATGAGTGAAATATTTAATACAATTATTGCTTTTCCAAGTAGTTTCTTTGTTTTATATTATATGCATTAATGATTGGTTGGACAAGAAATTTGGGCTCAATACACAAGGATTACATTTGAGTAATGATTAAATTACCCTAGTCTGTAGATCTGTAAGCTTTGACATATCATTATAAGTCTAATGTGATACATTGTTTATTTGCAATGTTTGGTGTGTTCTGTGTCTGGTTGTAAACTTAAGGTCAAGGTGTATTGTAACGTATGTAAAACTGTGATACAATAGCTAAAAGATGGGTACTTGGATACAAGCATTAAACTGAGATACCGTATCTAATACTGTGTGTGTACTTCTAGTCCAGTTGACTCTGTTTCTACGCCTGTTTCTCAACTACCAAAATTTCGTTCTACTCTTTTAGAGGAAAGTGTTCAGTTCAGTTTTCGAACGCAGGGCTTGAGATCTCTCCGTAGCATTATTGATATGGTCACATCAAATTAATAATTCGTTCATTGGAATCACTATTACAATTTTCGAAAACTATGTTTCAGATTTTGAATGAAATGTATAGATTGTTTGCAGAATTATTTAAGAATTGTTACTAAGAATGAAACAACAGTATGCCAAAGAAAAGCACACATGCTTACCTGAGTTGGACAAATATTACAACTGGAAAGTGGAAATGTCTTTTAACATATTCACTTAGTTCGTGGCATTTATCATATCACTTGCTCACTAATGCATCTTTATTTAGATATAAACCTGAACCCAAAATGCAGATGCTTAAGGCAGTCATCATCAATCCCATTTGGGTCAAGCTACTGGTAGTGAAGACTCATACCTAGTGAAGACTCGTGCCTATTGAAGACTCGTGCCTAATTAAACTAGTTATCTCTGAACGGTTTTATCATGTTTAAGCTTGTATCTGTATGCTCCTGCAGTGGTGATTAGCTTGTATATATTCCTAACACTGAAGAGCACCCTGTATAACCAACCATCTGTGTGTGGAAGCTTTGATGTTGTATGCTTGAGATCGATGAGAGAAAGAGGAAATCTTCATGTTTGTCTGAAGTCTTTCAATGACAAATTTGTCTAATAAAGTCAAATAAAATATTTTGAAAAAATAAAATAAAATTATGACAGTTATCATATTCAAGTAAAGAAATATGAATGCATCACTAAAAAGAATATTTCACACAGATTTTGAAAAGTTGGTTGACAATTTATGATTATTCTAAATATTTATGAATGTATTTTGTTTTAATTAATTTGTTAGCCATGTTTTTCTTGAGGTATATTTGGACATGTGGGGACTTTTCTGAACTTATGTAAGAAAAATGTGTTTGTTAATCTGCAATTTACTTAACTGTAATCGCAGACCTCAGCAACAAAGTGCTATTGTAGATAACTTGAAGGTTTATCATTGTACTCAGTGGTATATGCAAATGTTTCATCTTAGGGGATAGTCTTGTTTATTTATTATGCATGAGTTTCTTGTCATTTTACAGTTAGAGTTTCCATGTTGGGAAAAGCTATGTCAGACATTTTTGAAAAGGTGATTTTTTATCTTGCTTTTTGTTGATCTAATAAGTATTCACAAACATCTGCCATCGTTTTGGTTTTGGCAAACTTTCGAGAAGCTGAAGAGGGCATTATTATAAATGTACCTTCGTTTTCATTGATTCAGAAGTTGTAACACAAACATGCCATCATTTTCGTTTTTCTTATGGCATATATTGAAATTATTCAGCTCAGCAGCTTACAATATTGAGTACTGCATTCAGTTTCATTGGCTGTCTCCATTGATAAAAGCTTGCCAGCATGTTTTCACCAATCTATACCTCATTTGCATATAAGTTGTCTATATCTGTGTAGGATATATTTTGTTTTGTCGACTTGCCTCCCTTGTAAACATGTACAGGAATATTAACCCATGTATGCTTGTTTCTCCTGGTAAATTGAAGCTTCTTTATTTAGTTTATAGAAACTCAGCATTGTGAAGTTCATCTACCTATTAAATTTAAACAGTTTTGTTTGACCTGGAGGTGTATGGAGACAGGTAGCCAATGTCTGTGTTTAACCCCTATTCATAAGGTGATAAAAATAGTTGTTTCCCAGACACTTGAAGTATTTCAAAAATGATTCTTCACGAAAGCATTAATGTTTGTTTATGGTTTGAAATGAATCACACCATATTTTGTCTTTTTCCAAATGACAAAATATCTGGTCTGAGGGAGTCAGTGATGAAACCCGTCCTCAGTTACTGATTATTGATGATAATTTCCTGAGGACTACTTGATTATGCAATTTCCAGGCAAACAGACTTGTTTTGAATTTATAATTTTGGTATTGGTGCCAAGGTGGTGTGACTAAAGACATATAGTTTGAACTTTCTTGTTGTTATTATTATGTATGCTATTTTATTCAATAGTTTCCTAAAAAAGATGTTTGTTTCAGGATGATTTGTAAATTGTTCATGTTACGATGCTGGTAGACAAAGCCCAGATCTGTCAGACGAAAAATGATTAGATTTTGTAATTCATCTTTGTATCTGAGTGGAGAAATGATTCATCAACAACAGGTAACATAGCTCTAGAAATTTCGCTGTGAATGTTGATATTATGTTTCTGTGAAATTTGACTTGTTTTTTGTGTCTTTGTTTGGATTTGAAGACTTCCCTCACAGTAATAAAATGTCATGTTCAATTTGACTTGCATCTGTCTTCACTTTGGAAGGTGTAACTATTGATACACATATGCATGATGATATTAGGCTTAAAAAATAAAAGAATGGGTTCTCAGGCAATGACTTTTGAAAACATAGTGCAGATGGAGGGGGGAGGGAGGGTGAGGGGGAGATTATCAAACCATACTACATATGCTTTCAAAAGGGTGAGGGTACGGACCCCTTCTATCATACGCCAGAGACCCAGCACCTGCCGACGTTGTCCAGCTTGGGGTAGCTCTTCAGGCAGAATGGGGGCGGTCGGGTAGCCTAGTGGTTAAAGCGTTGGCTCGTCACGCCGAAGACCCGGGTTCGATTCCCGACATGGGTTCAATGTGTGAAGCCCATTTCTGGTGTCCACCGCCGTGATATTGCTGGAATATTGCTAAAAGCGGCGTAAAACCATACTCACTCACTCACTCAGGCAGAATGGCTGGAAATACCAAAGGCAACCACAGGCAAGTTAATCAACCGTATGCCAACATGGTGGACACACAAGGTATTGAGCTACACACCCAAATTAAATTTTACAGACGTTTATCATCATTACACCTTCACTATCATTTCATCAGTTCCCTTATTTTTGTCAGCAGTATATTTTAGATGGATTCGGACATTAATCTTCACCGATCAGAAACAATCACCATTGCAAGATAGTTCATTGCCGCTGCCTGCACATGTTGTATGGTATGCTGACCTTTTGCATCTGCAAGATGTCAATTCTAACAGTCCTTTTGAGTGTTGGTTTTGTCATCTCACTGTCTTTCGTTGTTGAGTTACTTCTTACAGAATAGCCACTTTCCGACATTGTCTGCCTTCTTGTCAGCCAGTCTTCATCTAACTTTCATGATTGACCAAGCTCTGCTAAGCTGATTTGATGAACTTCACTGTTCCGAAGCGAAGTCAATGTTGTTTGTTTCTTTCCTGTTCCTGTCAGTTCCTGCATGTCATCGGTCCCAATTGCGTGGATTGATGCTCATGATACTAATTACTGGATTGTCTGGTTCAGACTCGATTATGTACAGACCGCCGTCATATAGCTGGAATATTGCTGAGTACGGCGTTAAACAACAAACCAACCAACCAATCATTCAGTTAAGATTTAAACTGAGAATAATAATTACAAGTAGATGAAGCGTCGGGGAGTGGTGCCAATATTGAAATAAGCAGTCATAAAATCTCTGTTTGAAGATATACCATAAATGATGAGATGCAACCAATGTCTTGAGAAGCCAAAAAATCCAAAACCATCCCAAATAATATATTCTCATATGAGATGCCCAAGTATTTTTACCATTATCATCGAGAATCAAGAATTGTTATCACTTTATATGCTTTGCGGGGAAGTCCATGCTGTAGTAAGTGGATCAGTCTATACCAGTACAGGTCTTCAGCAACCGGTGCTTGCCGTAAAAGGTGCCGCTGCTTGTCGTAAAAGGTGACTCTGCTTGCCGTAAAAGGTGACTCTGCTTGCCATAAAAGGTGACTCTGCTTGCCGTATAAGGCGACTAACGGGATCGGGTGGTCAGGATCGCTGACTTGGTTGATGCATGACATCGATCCCAATTGCGTGGATCGATGCTCATGATGTCAATCACTGGATTGTCTGGTCCAGACTCGATTATTTACAGACCGCCGTCATATAGCTGAAATATTGCTGAGTGCGGCGTTAAACAACAAACCAACCAACCAATTTAACTGCTCTGGATGTATAATAATATTGTATGGATACTCTGCCACATTCTCCTAGGACCATATTATTATTAGTATACTTGTTTACTCTCAGAAATGATTTACAGATTTTCGTGTGCACACTGTCAATGATGTTACAATAAGCAGTTCCCAATATCTCAGATCCATGGCACTGAATAGGTGTGATTATAGCATCAAAATGTTTAAAAGATCATTATGATTAATATAATAATGATAGGCTGAAGGGAAGGGAGTTGCATAGAGAGGCACCAGCGTGAGAGAAGGATCGAGCAGCGACGGACTTTAATTTGTGTTTAGTACAGACAGGAGAAGTTGGTCATTTGATCGAAAATTTCTGATAAATTTGTTTTGGAGAAACATTTCTTGAAGATAGGCAGGACCCGAGGTATGGAGAGACTGGTAGACAAGAGAGAGGCTATATTTTCTTAAATACAGTAAAGTACGGTTATAACGAACTCAAAGGGACTATTAATTTTAGTTCGTTATAACCGTAGTTCGTTATAAGCATATATACAGCATAACTACAGCAAATAGGCGGGACCAAAAAGTAAGTTCGTTATATCCGTCAGTTCGTTATAAGCGTGTTCGTTATAACCGTAGTTTACTGTACGTCCACAATGTTCCTGGTAGTTGCTATTTAAGAATACTGCTTTTCTCGCTTGTGCTGCCAGACACGTTTGTGACTGTGTACGTGACAATTTAGGTTAAAAAATCAATACCATGACATATGTCCATGTTCACGACTTCCGTTTATTCTCCATTTAGAAGCTATTTTTGTCGTTTCTGCGGAGGGGACCTCCATTTCCAGTACCATAATTTTAGTTTTGTTGAGATTTATTTTCATTCCAGGTTCTGCACAAAACGTACCAAAACATTAATGTTTTTTTCGAAGCTGCAAAGCAGTGTCAGAAACAGACATCATCAGCAAAAAATAATGAAAACACATCAGACGTATGAGGAGATGTAACAACACCTCTCCCACCTTCCTCCTCCAGCACTGTAGCCAGCTGGTTGATGAAAATTATGAGGATTTGGAGACAAATTGTGTGCCAATGTTACATAGGAAGTATGGTGAAAAGCCAGGATCAGTTCTCACTCAAGCACACAGCGATGAATACATGATCACAAGAAACTTGAAGACTTTACCTTTAACACCATGGGTTCGGAGACTTGTAAACAATGATTCATGATTTATGCACTCAAAAGCTTTGGAGAGAATGAAACCTCCTTTCTTTGATAAATATGAGTTAATCATAGCTTGCAACGTAAATATATGGCCCGTGGTGGAATAACTTTGTCTAAATACAGCTTGTGATTCTGTTATTATATTGGTATAAAGGTTGTAGTCTGTTATTAATAACAATGTTTGGATGTATGAAATAGAAGTACAACACAGACCCCGAAAAAGTCACATATCTGACGAATATAGCAGCTCGTAATAAGATCATCTTTCACGAACTCCGACACACCACCGTATCGATCCATTTGTTTTTCTTAAGGTCGACAATAATGAAATGATTGAAAACTGGACAATAAGTCATCGAAGTCTTTCGGATGTCTTACACATGTGAGTGAGTGAGTATGGTTTTACGCCGCTTTTAGCAATATTCCAGCAATATCACGGCGGGGGACACCAAAAATGGGCTTCACACATTGTACCCATGTCGGGAATCGAACCCGGGTCTTCGGCGTGACGAGCGAACGCTTTAACCACTAGGCTACGCGACCGCCCCCTTACACATGCAACACAGAGGCTAATAATGTCATATTTTGAACAAGAAACCTTTAAAATCCCTAAAGTTAGATATAATATAAATACTGAAAACCTATGATTACAAACATCGATCAGAATGTTCAAGTAGCCATAACCTTTTGCTGTTTATTCCCATATCATGGAAATCTTCTGTGAAATCATAGATATGTAAAGTCGTTTGTCCTCCATAAAACTCCAATGACGTCTTCCTATTGTTCTGCATTTAGGTTATCCTCACAAATGGGGATGTTATTATATTCCTGGGATTATATATATTCAATTTCCGGTCAAATTGTAACATGCGAATGTCCCTGGCGAGAGATTTATTTTGCATTTGAAGACAATGTTGATTATGCCATGTGCGGAATGATGTAAAATCAAATTACAAACGGATCGAACTTGCAACCTTTGTATCAGTCACTAGGCTACAGAGGAGTTGATAAATCACTATGCTGTTCAGAATCCATTAAGGATATGTACGCAGGAAAATATATTTTTCGCCCGTTTAATTAGGTTCATGGAATGTAGGTTTGAATTTTAAAATTGTTGATAACTGATGATGAAGCAGAACAATTGACTACACGTGTCCCTGATGAAATCAATATTTTTCACGTTTGGTAATAAATACTTACTCCTTTTTGCAAATTGTGTATCTGGCGGATGCTACGGGTTGGGCAGGACATGCTTTACCTTTTCGCGAAGACATGGTGTCACGTCACTAATTTTCAGTGGTCCATTCATATAATTTCCCCAGCTTTTTGCCCTTTACGCCAGTTGGAATCTGTTTCGGCAGAAATGCTGGGCTGGTTATTCTCTTGCATTGATAATTTATATTCAAAGCTATATGCAGCAAAGTACAGGTCATATATCGTATTCAGGCATACTGGCGAAGACGTGATGTGGCTGTTCGGTATACTCCACAAATCATTTTTTACAATCGTTCACACACGCACGCACGCACGCACGCACGCACACACAGACACATGCACACACACACGCACGCTCGCACGCACGCACACACACGCACACGCATACACGCACTCACACACACGCACACATACATCTCAAGGACATGTAGAAAGCCCTTGGACACTATGCCAATTGATTTAATATCCGTAGCATACTGATTTTATTTAACATAGAAAAAGGGGTTTGTGTATGACACAAATACACAATGTTCTGAGCATCTAATAATTAAAATGGCACAAGCAATCTTTACGCAAGTTAAAACTAAAAGTCTTTACTCACTGATGCCTTTTTCATACTTGAAACCCACACCACTGAAATTACAATAAGAAGTTGTAAACATCTGTACATATGTTCCTGCATTTCGAGTGAGATCTTGTACACTTTCCCCTGTAAAATGTCCCCATGTAGGATCTTTCATCCCTATGTAGGATCTTTCATCCCTATGTAGGATCTTTCATCCCCGTGTAGGATCTTTCATCCCCATGTAGGATCTTTCATCCCTATGTAGGATCTTTCATCCCTATGTAGGATCTTTGATCCCCGTGTAGGATCTTCCATCCCCATGTAGGATCTTTCATCCCTATGTAGGATCTTTCATCCCTATGTAGGATCTTTCATCCCCGTGTAGGATCTTTCATCCGCATGTAGGATCTTTCATCCCTATGTAGGATCTTTCATCCGCATGTAGGATCTTTCATCCCAATGTAGGATCTTTCATCCCTATGTAGGATCTTTCATCCCTATGTAGGATCTTACATCCCTATGTAGGATCTTTGATCCCCGTGTAGGATCTTTCATCCCCATGTAGGATCTTTCATCCCTATGTAGGATCTTTGATCCCCGTGTAGGATCGTTGTTCCCCATGTAGGATCTTGCATCCCTATGTAGGATCTTTGATCCCCGTGTAGGATCATTCATCAAGCAAACCAAACATGCATTGTGTATCTACCAGAAACAAGGTAAACCGTACATCATTGAATAGACACTTACCTTGAATAGACGCCAGGTGTAAAACGGCCGTTGAAATAAATAGATGCCAGGGTGTTTATTCAAGACTTTACGATACGTACCGTATATCGGCATGAACAATGTCAAAAACAGATGGAATACATCACACACTTGGAGCGTACATCATTGGAGGTATAACGATGGTCAATTAAAACTGGTAATTACCGAGATTCCATGTGCTAGTATATTCAAGAAATCAAGAAATATTTACTGTTCTCTGTATAAGTGAGTGAGTGAGTTGTGCTTAATGCCGCTTTTAATAGTAGTCCAGTTATCTCGGACGTTTACCACGGTGAAACCCACTAGCAAACCTAGAAACATAATCGGGGCGAACCGGGATTCGAACCCACAATCATAGGTTTCTGGCGCGCCCAAGGGACGCAACTCTGCACAGCGAATCTCGGCGCCTTAGACGGCTGGGCCACCTGTGCCCTCGTCATCCATATAATGGTTGTTGAATATAGTAAGGGCTAGTTTGGGGGATCGTGTAAAAATGTTGCATGTATTTGGGGGGATATGAAACAATGTTACATAAAATTGGGGTCGGCAAATATGATACATTCCTCGACCAATCCCCCAACCCTCATAATAAATTACCAGTCCCGTAACACACGTTAGTGAGAGATATTTTTAGGACTCAGAATGCCTAATCTGTATTATTTAAGTTCCTGTTTTGTCAGCTCGATTATTTTTCACGCACTGTTTATAACTTCTACATAATGGTTATAGATAAATAATAGAATTTAACAATTAAATATGAAACTGTAGGAGAGGCAGATCCTGGACAAAAATACAATCATTCATTGTGCAAAAACACAGTGACTGACGGATGACTAACATGTGAGGTCCCGGAAATCGATAGTCTGAACGTAATATTTCTCACTATCAACATAAGGGAGTGCAGATGTGGGTGGCGATATAGTGTGCGTGAAGGTGTTTCTGTTGTAAATGATACACCGTAATTCTAATTGAATATACTTTGGGGACTTTCCAGGCTATCACGCCCAGAGTGAGTGGGTGTTGAGGAAGTGCGTAGCCGGACTCGAAAATTGGACTCTGCTTTCAACGGAGGCTACCCCACACACGCAATCACAATTAGATTACAACTTGGAAGTGAACTGAACTGATTAATTACATGTTTTGAAAACCGATATTTGTTTCATTTTCCTCCCAAAATGTATTGTATTAAGTTCAACAAAACTGTCAACAGTAATGGTTTTACAAGAAACAAAATTTTAACAATAATTCATTTATCGAAAATAGGTTTGTATGCTGATTGCCCGAAACGAATGTTTAATACTCATGTTTGGAAAGAGAGTAATGTCCATTGAATGTCACGGGTATGTTTACATTATACCTCGTAAATGTTCAACAAATAACGAGAGTCTGCCAGGAGAGCGTAAGGTCGGTGGTTCGATCCCCGGTCGAGTCATACCAAAAGATGATAAAAATGGTACTTTTTGTTACTCTGCCTGTCGCGGGATAGATCAAGGACTGGTCGGTCGGCATTAGCCCGGGCTAGAAATACAGACATGCTCGCACGCACGCACGCACGCACGCACGCACGCACGCACGCACGAACGAACGAACGCACGCACGCACGCGCGTGAATCTAAGCCGTTATATATATAGTGCAATAATGATTTCACCTCACATCAACAAACAACGAATGTCCAACAAGCAATACACGTATGTAATCACACCCACACCCAACGCCCCACACAGAAGTGACAAAACAAAGGTAACATAGAGAATACACAAATAAAAAAAAAAATCACAATAAAACAAAATAAGAAATAGATAATAAACGTTTACAGACAACCAATAAAACACGAATCCGTAATGAGCCTCCATGTGTTCGAATGCCGTTGTCTAAACGGGACATAGGAAGGCATCTAGTTCCGATCGATATCGCTAACGCTTATTGTGGGAAGGAGACATAACGTTATAAGGGGCGCTATCTGTTGTCACATCACGAGCTGTGTCAGTCCGCGAACACACTCGCCAGTTGCGGAGGTATACACAGCTTGGGACAGGTAAGACCTACTTCCATGTTTGCGTTGATCTTACATCATTCAATGGATAGATTTATCGATTACTACATTCTGATAAGGGTTTACATAAAAAAGACTTTCAAAACGAGACGTACATATATTGTACGCCTTTCTCATACTCTTATTGTTATTATAATTATGGACATGCGTATTGTTTTGAAAAGTGTTCATAAACAGTGCCTTGACAGTGGATTATTTTATTAAATACACTTTAAAATCATTTTAAGTTAGTTCTTGATGGTATCTTTTTGATCAATGTAGCAAGAGTGCTTCACACTCGTTGAACAACCTTCCGGCGGAGGTATATTAAATGTTCAAGGAATGGAATACAAGGACGTTTCTTGACGAGCGAATCACAAAGGGCGTTCGATACCGAAATTGCAATTGTATAACGTTAAATCCGATTGCATAAAATATTACCCAAGAATGATGAATATTGATGCGGTCTACTCCACTAAGTCGGAGAGAATGGTCTTAAATACAGTTGATTGAAGCGGTTTGGTTATGAATATTAACTATTTGTTGTTCGTTGAGTATCAACTTTCACAGTATATAATGCCGTTGGTAGTGAAAATTGCCATGTTATTGACGTAGAATGGATTCTTAATTATTACACCATTACGATGACTTCCCGTTGTTGTTGTTGCAGTTGATAGAAACTGACCCAACTTTAAGCGTATGCACAATTAGAGAAATTATAGATTAATACTACATAAGTTGGCTTAATCACTCGAATATGGTAATTCCGGAAGTAATAATCAACAGATTCACGTGTTTTTCCATAACTTAGTTAAAGATTTATAATGCCATTAACAGGGTATGAAACTCCAAAAAATTTCAGCCAGACCACAGGACTGGCTAGCTGAAATACTTGCCAGCCCTGACCAAAACCTGCCTGCCCACTATAATCATATGTTTCTCAGGATAAGCTAACGGGGTTTCTTTTTGGTTACATTTTATCATTCATCTTTGCATGTGAATTAATGCTTATCATCGGGAAATATTTAGAATAGTTTCACATATGAAATATAACCCGACCGTCGGGCAGGGGGATTTAAAAATCTGGCAGCCCGAGTTGAAATCAACCCGTCTCGGACGGTCGGGCAGGCAGGTATTTCGAACACTGCCATTAATTTGTTGAAACATTCAGAGATACAAAGAGTTTCAAACAAAATCATTTAAATAATCGGCAAAACCCTTTCTGTGGCCACAAGAATACGACTCTAAGTGCTGATGAATCACTCTCAATCAGTTATGATACCAGGTGTTCGCGAAAAGGTGAGCGTATCCCGCCAAACCGGTGGCACTCGCCACAAACACATGCCAAGGCAAGTCAATTGTTCACTTAAAAATACACGGGAACACATGGTACAAGTCAAAATAGGGAATTGCACCGAAAATCAATTTTGATACTGATGTCGTTATGTGCTCTACATGTCTGCCATAAAACGTTGTGAAAGCTTTGCCAAGGTATTAAGTGTTGTAAGCTTGATCAAACACCAGTGGAGCAAGAGTCGTATGGCGCTCTTTGAATTCTTAGAAAAAGCATGCTCAATTGTATCTAAAGGTTCGTGAAAGAGCTGCTGGAATATTTCTCTCATAAGGGGAAAGTTGACTATTGGAAAATTGAAGTCACACCTCTTGTCACACAGTCTTGTGGAGAGTGTTTTGTCACACTGAATCTTTTTGCTCTAAATATGAAACAGATGAGGCGGTCTCACTGGTCTCCTTTATTTCTAGTTCAGGTGGGTAAATCAATGGCGTGAGTGAGTGAGTTTGGTTTTACGCCGCTTTTAGCAATATTCCAGCAATATCACGGCGGGAGACACCAGAAATGGGCTTCACACATTGTACCCATGTCGGGAATCGAACCCGGGTCTTCAGCGTGACGAGCGAACGCTTTAACCACTAGGCTACCCGACCGCCCGTAAATCAATGGAAGGGAATTGGCTATTTGAAGGTTTTTGAACGATATCAGATCATCGATATTAAGTTAAACTTCTTGGCCACATTTTCTTGTTTTGACTTTGCCAATCCGAGCATATCATTTTGAAAATATTAAATTTTACTCTATTGGACAAGCTCTAGATATAATAAAGTTGCATAGCCCTGGTGGTCATGGATTGTAGCAAGACGTAGCGACGTGGTTTTACTCCTCTAGCGACATTGAACTTTCATAATCTGTACATTTATACGTTGGCTTCAATTGCACACAATGTTAAACAATATTATCAAATCAGCAGAACCGATACTGATATAGACAGAACAAGCGTTACCAAAACAGTTGCCCGGAGAACGGCTAAAACATATTTAAATTTGGTAAAGAACATGCATGTGTACTTAAAGCCAATACTCATATCCCTCACTCAGATACGACTGCAAACAAATACAGTAAACTACGTTTATAACGAACACGCATGTAACGAACATACGGATATAACGAACTTATTTTTAGTCCCAACCATCTGTTGTATGCATGCTGTATGTATGCTTACAACGAACTACGGTTATTACGAACTAAAATTAGTGGTCCCCTCGTGTTCGTTATAACCGTAGTCTACTGTACATTAACACCAGCGAGTTAGTTAAGGTGAGGTGATGTGAAATTGGGTTTAACGTCGCGTCCAAGATTATTGCACTTATATAGCGACGTGCATGTACGTGTGTGTGTTTGTGTGGCTGCTTGTACTAGTCCAGACTGATGCCGATTTATAGTGCTAGCACACTGAGATACCATGCCGCAGTTTAACACGAATACCCCACTCAGACACAGTATACTGACTCCGAGCCGACCAGTCCTTGATTTAGCCCCTTAATGCCGAGCGCCAGACAGGGTAACAACAAGTACCATCTTTTAACGTCTTTTGGTATGACGCGGTCGGGGATCGAACCCCGGACCTTCCGCTCTCCGGGCGGACGCTCTACCACTAGACCACGGAGGCGGTGAGTTAGTTAAGCGTGGGACGTTGGCCACAATATTAATCACTAGTTCTTCTGTCCCCGACTCGATTATCTACAGACCGCCGTTATATAGTTGGAATATGTCTGGGTGCGGCGCTGAACAACAAACAAACATAGAAAGAAAGAAACGTAGAGACAGTGTCATTACTGAAGGCGGGGGCGGTTGAGCAGTATCCCCGTGTAACACAAATAACAGATACCATGTAACAGAACCCTTTTTAAAGTTCGACGGAATTTCTTTTTAAGAGTGAAAGATACACAATGATGACGGTTGTGTTCTCTGGTAGATCAGGGGCGGTGGGGTAGCCTAGTGGTTTAAGCGTTCGCTCGTCACGCCGAAGACCCGGGTTCGATTCCCGACATGGGTACAATGTGTGAAGCCCATTTCTGGTGTCCCCCGCCGTGATATTGCTGGAATATTGCTAAAAGCGGCGTAAAACCATACTCACTCACTCGCTCACTCTGGTAGATCACATGACCGGAGGTTGCTTCAGGTTCATCCGTTCCTGGAAGGGGATGACGTCACCATATTGACCACCAGGCGATGGTGCGGCCATGGTCATTTAATTGAACATGGGATAAAACTCATAACCTTGAAGGTATTTTTGCATCTCACTTGTCCCTGTGTGTCAGATTCACATCTGTATTCAGTGTCCACTGGGAGATTACAGGAAATGGGATCAGGCAAATCATGGACGACTGGGACGCTGTCTTGAAATCCCCATGATTGATGCTACAAGTTCATCTGAAGACGCAGTCAGGGTACTGACCACCTCCGGGGTCTAGCGTTAGAACGTCCGTCCGGTGAGCCAAAGGTCGGTGGTTCGAACCCACCCACTCCCTCCAATCCGGCGTTATTGTATTGATATTTGTCAGTCTCAATAAATATATTTTTATGTTTACATCTGACCATTTACATCAGTAAAGAAAATATTTCCCCATTTACCATATTTTCTTTACAGTCGGATTTTACAGTTTCGAACTGGCCAGAATTGTAGTGATACTGGCGTTTTATCTGTAACCCTACTAAAACTGTAAACCCTACTGATGATATACAGGTGCTCGTGTTTTTCGTTGTATTTATAAGTATCAGGTGTGACCTCAATTTTCGCAGATTTCGCAACGATGAAACGATTAATTATGAAGAGTGATAATTCCACAGATCGATGTATTAACTGATATAGAATTATCAAGACCCTTCGCCTGATTGATCGCAGATTACTAATAGGAAATCCTTCTGACCAATAACGGAAAAAGCGGGCACTGATAATACCGATACATTGTTAGTAGTGTTGCTGTCTCCAACGGCTCATGAAAGTGCCGTTGTCCAAGTGGAAGCCTATTCGCGGAGCTCTCTGTCGCTATCGCCAGTCACAGCTTGCTACTGTTTTAAGCGTACTGCAACCAGGCATGGAGTTGAACTCGCAACAACAGCTCGTCATATTTACAAACAAGGAATGTTGTTGTTGTTGGTTTGTTGTTTAACGCCGCATCCATTAATATTCCAGCTATATGACGGCGGTAAGTAAGTGAGGTGCGTTTAACACCGTTTTTTAACAGTATTCCAGTTATATCGCGGCGTGTCAGCTTAATGTGGGAGGAAAGCCCGAAATGATGCAGGCCTCAGACGTTTACCACTTCGGTGAAACCCACGAGCACGGGTATGGTGCTGACAAACCTAGAAACATAATCGGGGCGAAGCAGGATTCGAACCCACAATCATAGGTTTCTGGTGTGCCCAAGGGACGCAACTCTGCACAGCCTTAGACGACTGGGCCCCCCCGTGCCCCCTTGTTTTCTTGTGGAGGGAGAGCAGGTGGAACAAAATATGTTTCCTCAATGAACACACTTAGTTCGAATCTTGAGCAGCTACTTTTTAAATAATTTGTACCAACAGGCTTTTTGGGACGATCTTCTGACTGAAGTCTTTAATCTGCGCCAGGCTGCATTTAATATGTGATTTACAAACGCTTTTATCATTTCTGGTGTGCGACCGTCCTTTATGGTTACCAGGGAGACTA